CATTAGTTTATATTAAAAAATAACAATGTTAATCCATTCAATTCCGTTTACACAATCAGTGTCTCTATGAATCTAGTTCAGCATTACATATTTCGATGAAGGTGAAACGAAAGTTACCACATCTGTCATCTGCGAGTTACTTCCAACCTGCGATCCATAAAAGTTCAGCGTGACATTTCTCGGCATCTCCGGATGCATCATGTTGTCCGTCCCCTCAGGTGCACTGGCAAATTCTTCAACGCCAATGGAGGCCAAAAAATCAAAGTCCAGAATCAAATTTTCATCGCTTGCTGGGTTGCTTGTTTCGGTGTTGGTGGTGTAAGCCACTGCAGTGTCCGGTGGCCATTTGCTCATGCTTGCTGGGTTGCTTTGTCCCGTGACTGTCTGAGCTACTGGAATGTTTGCTATAAAGTTTTCATAGCTTGCTGGATCGCTATGTCCAGTGTTTGTGTATGCTACAGTGCTGCTTACTGCAGAGTTGGCAAAGCTTACTGAATTGTTTGATCCAGGATTGCCAACAAATTGTAAGCTGTTTGAAACGGCATTACACAGGACTGGCACCTGATTCCACATAACGTTGTCACCAACACTTGATAAGTCTCCAGATGTGATTGATATGGGGCTGAAGTAGTCCTGGGTAGGATTATTTGACCCAGGGTTGCTACCAATTTCAGTGTCTCCAGATGTGTTTGACATGGGGCTGAAGCACTCCTGGGTAGAAGGATCATTTGACCCAGGGTTGCTACTGAATCCAGTGTCTCCAGATTCATTTGACCGAGGATTTGCGTAAGCTTGGGCATGGGAGCCAGGGCTGGGCCACTGAGACATTGTATGAAGTAGGCAGCTGGTGGACAATCTTCGGATATCTGTGAATATATAAATGTTGATCATCTCAATTGCCAGAAAGAGCACTAATCATATGCTGGTATTTAGCCATTTTCCTTAATAGCAATTTATGAACAATTTATTGCTTGTTTTTTAACAGTACACAAATCAGAATACAGCAATCGACACTAACAGTTGTCCGATTGCCCGGGGCAAGTAAAAGTCTATGTCGGACAAGTCATTCTCTTGGCTAGTTGCCTGATCAGAAAACTGAAAAATTCTAGTTGTTTAATATTGCTAACATAATTTGAGTCAGGCGCGATCGCACGACATTCTCACGTTGTATTTTCAATGGTCGCTGAAAAAAGCAGCCCACGACACCCGTGTGTCAGGAAAAATCTAAATTGGAAAAGTAAAAATTGCTTCTTGTTGCCCGACAGGACAACCAGATCTGAAAATAAGCGGAAAGGGCCCTAGTGCCTGCGGACCAATCACGTTTGGCTACGGCCTGGGTATCGGCCTGTACTAGTATAGGATATCTTTGGAGTGTGCAAAAAAACATGGCAAAATAGCGACCTGATCTACTGTGTGCGATATAGATAGTACATGTTCCACAAGTATGCGGCACAGAAACCGAAAAAACAAAAAGCACATTGCTTTACATCACACACCAGTTGTTATAATATATATGCTGTTACTGATACAGTGCCAGGACTTATCATATCGTATGAGGACTTTGTCACTTATAACACTCCGGTGCTTATAATCAACCACTCTGCACCACGATGTAATTTATCATCTTTTGTGCTTAACTCTTTTGCTTGGCTACAAGGTGTCACTTTAGTGTATTGAATGTGTTCCCGAGATAATAATAATATACAGTAAAACTCGCATAGGACGCCATCGTCTAATTCGTCAATTCGCATAAGTCGTCATGGAAGTCAGTCCCGATTTTCTCTAACGATAACTCCATTTTAATAGCCCCGCCAAAGTCGTCATTTACAAGCTGTCATTATGTACAAGTCGTCGCCCTGAGACAGGTCCCATGTAATACAAACAACAGTAAAATCCTATCTGTATGTCGTCATCATAAAACTAAAAGGCCGATGGCGCAGTGTATGCAGCCCAATGTACAGCGAATTCCTGGTAAAATGATGACTCATTGNCCGCATTCCCGCCTATTAAATCTCGTGTTTCCCGTGTTACTTCTTCTCTATTACGCTTACTTCTATTGTCTTGTTTCACTGCATACTGCCTCTGTCTTCCGGTCCTCCTCGAGCTTCTCTCAATTTCCAATTTCCAATTTCCACTACCATTAATAGTTGCTGGCAATAGATTCATCAGGTCACTTGCAAGAATTTGCCCGTAGAAGGTTTCATCTGTTGGCGTTTGCACCTATGTGTGTGGCGTCGAACGTGTGTGTGTGGTGTGTCCGTGTGTGGTGTGTGTGTCGTGTGTGTGTGTTGTTGTGTGTGTGTGTCGTGTGTGTGCTGGCCCGCGCTTGCGTCGCGCTGCGTGGGTGGGTGCGTGTGTTTTTGTATGTATGTGTGCGTGCGTTCGTGCGTGCGTGCGTGCGTGCGTTCGTACAATGTATATTGTAATTTGTATATTGTATATCGTATTGTATATCGTATTGAATATCGATATACAATATATCGTATTGTATATCGATTGTATATCGTATATTGTATATTGTACAATGTACAATGTGCGTTCGTGCGTGCGTGCGTGTGTGCGTTCGTACAATGTGTCTATACATACGTACGTGCATGCGCACGTATGTAGACCTACGCGATAACAAGAGGAAAACATAGACGTTAACACAGCTAGTACACGGAATACAAGCATACGAGCAGTACATATCATACGAGTAACGTCCCTGCTGTAAAACTTGTAGTAAAAAAGCGTTACAAATTGTAACCGAAATCAACTTGTGGCAGTGGTAGATTGAGCCCATGAGCGAGAGCCATCTGTCGTGGAGTTTGGTTTTGTGGTTGCATTATTTAGGCTGGCCATCAAGTGTTGAAATAATCATCAAGTGTGTGACAATGACATGCACATGGAGATGGGTGGATGGTTACTGGTAATTTAAAACGAATTCTTTCAATGTATGGCCCCTATCCGACTGCGCGACTGTTTTTCAGGCACAAAAGTGGTGACGGTTAGTAAATTCGCGATATTTTTTTAAAACGCCGGACAACATAGGGGCCTATGTCATAACTCTAATGGTGCACAGCTGAAGTGCATGGCTACCTAGACCGAATAATTCTGTCCCATATAACCTTTTTTATATTTTGGTGAGGGTTATATTGGTTAATAATTAAGCCCAATAACCCCCACCAAAATATAAAAAAGGTTATATGGGACAGAATTATTCGGTCTACATGGCTACCTAGCTTTAATATTGCCACTCGGCAGAAAACGGTCGAAATACTATTTTTCAGCTCCTGAAATTCAATTCTTAAGTATAGGATCCTATGGAGGATTTAATAGTGGTCTGTTCTCATAGCTATGATTATAACATATTTTGTCGACAGGTGGCGCTAAAATAATCGCCATCTTAATTTCTCAAACAAAGAAACCAACGAAATGCTAAAATTCGAAAGGTCTGTAAGAAAGAATACAAAATTAAATATTACAGGTATTTATGATTGATGTGTTTGACTGAGAACCATTAGATTGGTATTCCGCTATTATTATTATGTAGAACTAGAAGGGTATGATTTGATACTCACAAATAACAAGTATACAATTCTCGCTTTGTCGTATAGAGGACTAGAGATAGGGATACTGGTCGAAAACTTAGATATTGGTAGAAGGCCATAAATAAGCACCACTTGGATAGATCTTGCAGCCAGTAGATTTACCAGTGCATACTTAATGTCAATGATTGCGTTTATGCGGTTGTAGGCAGCTGATCCGCGATTTTATGTCAAGAGGCGTCGCTGGGTGTTAATGTTTCTCAGGGCCGTTTCCGAGGTGTGTGTTCTGAGCCCGCGGTATAGATTTTTGTTTGGTCCAAGTTGCAAAGTAAATAAAGTTCATTACACCCATATAACTTCGTGAGTTAATAAGGATGATGATTGTTATATAAATGACTATTAACGGCAATCTAGGAAGACGCGCGCCTTTGCATTCTTATAGATCTTCCCTGAATATAGCCTCCGTAGCCAGCGATATTATGGTTTATGTATCAGGCGACAGGCACCGACATTTTCAGTTTGATGAATCCTCTCATTTGAGGTTAAAATTAATTAGGGTTCTGCTCTTACCTCCCCAACTGAGATCTTATGTACTGGTAGAATGCATCCTTAGGAGCAATGTTTCATGAAGAAAATTACATCTTAAATGGCACCAAATATTTTATATTGGACGCGTCAAATTTTGGAGGAAATTGAAAATTTCGAAAGTACAAACTTTCGAGCTGCCCGTTTTCCGTAACAAAAGCATTTTGTCTGGTTCAAATTAAAAATAGTTTCACTGCTGCTAGATATATAAAATTTGATATAGTAATGTGCAGGAGCACATAGTATGTGAATATGTTGAGGAAATACATGTAAAGTGTGCAAGGAATTGTATATGGACATCAATTTTTGGGGAAAAATGTAAAATTATCAAAAATCGAAAATGAATTAAATGTGAATATAATTTTCTCCTACTTGTAGCGTCCAGAAATAGCAGCCATTACTATAGTGCATAGCAACACACAGTTCTACCGACGGATGATATTAATTTATNGGAGCA